GGAAGAACACTATATAAGAAGGCCGATGTGGCCGAGGAAGATAGGTTCTTCACGCTTTGTTCTAAGTACTTTTCCTCGTCCTTGCCGTCGCTTCGCCTCGAGCATTTCTTTCGCCATCATGATGGGCCTTGATGCCTTTGATTCTGGGGGAGATATCTGAGTTCGCTCAGTAGTTCCTGGGGTCTTTGGTGTTGAGGTCTGTTAGGCGTTGCGTGGCGGATAACTTGTTTGCGTCTCGTTTCGTTGGACTGGTTATCTCACGATACTAGCACTTCGAGCACTCATCACGGTCGCATACGAGCCCCTTTCGGTAAAATGTCTACGGCTTCCTGTCCATCGTCTACTCGCAGGTTTCGCGTTCGATTGGGGGGATTGAACATTGTGTTTGGGGGGATCACCCGTGTCGTTCTTGGGGCCAGCTCATCTCTTTTGTTGGGTTTTAACGGAGTCCTTAGTTGATGCGATACAAAACGCCCTTGGGTTAGACTGATGACCTTCCCAAGTATCAACTCGTCGTACCGGCCGCATCATTTCCTCAAGGGAGGGGGCCTTACCGGCCCCTCCCTGCCTCGTTACTTTATGTTTCTACGGTCGGAATCCTACGATGTTGTTTATCACCGTTCCCTTGGAAGCTTTGTCCTTGCGGCATATACGGTGGTTCAGTCAGGTGTCACCTCCTAGCTACGGTGGGAATGGCTTTGACCCTGAAAAACCTTACCCCCTGGAGTGGTTTTTCTTTGCTGCCTGGGGTGGTGTGGGACGATTGGCTGCCAGGCACTTGCGTTGTCTGTGCATCTGGGTGGTTCAGTTGTGGTCTGTGGTTGGCGGCTTCACCCATTGCAAGTGGGGCCTACCTTCTGTTTGTCTCCTTCTGTTCATTCGCCCTTCCCCATCTTGTCGCATCAGTTGGGGATGCCTCTTGCCCATTGTTCGGTCCGTGCCTGTTGTCGGACCTGTGGGGCTGGCTTTGGCTGGCTCTGCTTACTCTTCCCGACTCGGTTGGATTTCGGTTCGGCTGGGTTGGATAGTGTGGCCGGTGCCTGTGCCTTCGAGTGTGGGTGCAGCCTCCTTTGTGGCTGCCGGCTGTGGCTGGTGGGCCCCCCTCGGCTATATGGTGCTGGGGGTTGGGGCTCTGTTTGTGTGGCCAAGATCAATGGCTGCCTGGCGGGGCTGGGTATTAGCTGTCCTGTGGCCATCGGATGGTTGTTCTGTCTGAGGGGCTGGGGGGGCTGGATGGGCTCTGTGGCGTCTGGTGTGTGGGGCTTGGGAGGGGCTGATTGGGGGAGAAGAGGCACCTGCGAGCACCGGTCGGGCCAATGCGTCAGGTTGGGCGGAATGAGTCTAATTAAGTGTTTCCGGACCGGTTTGGGCTGCTGGGCGAAGCTGCTGAGTGCTGTAAAGCTCCCCAGCGGACCGCTGGACTGATGGCCACCTGTGCGGATAGTGGGTTGCGACCACCTGGTTGGACTTGTTTGGGTTCTGCGTGCTGGGTGTTGTGGAAGTTTGTTTGGTTTCTTTGGTTTGGCAATGGGCATGGCTGGCAGGGGCAAGGCACCACGGGTGGGAGATAGGCCCCACTGACTATTTCGGTCAGTCACCACCTCTATGTATTTCCTTTGTTTATGGGTTTGTTTTGGGGGACAGGCAGCAGGTACAGGTCCTCCTCACCATTACGCTCCTCGGAGGCACTTGGCAAAGTGGGTTTATAGGGTCGACGGCCTGGCATGCGGATGCGAGAGGTGGACATGTTGGTCACCTCCTCTCTGCCATTGTGTCGCCTGTAGTTTATAATTATTTTGGTTTGTTGTTGGTTTTCTACTGTGGTAGAGGTGTTGCGGGACGGTATTTAGACCGGGTGGTAGTGGTTTTAATTTGGTTGGACGAGGAACCTGGTTGGGTCGGTCTCTTACTCGGCTTCGGCTATGCTTGGTGCTGGTTGGCTTCATACCAGAGGGGCTACGGACTTGGAACGGGGAGGGCGCTGGGTTGTTTGATGGTTTTGTAATTAGTTTCCGTGCGGGCATGACTCGGGGATGGTAGGTGCGGGACCGTAGACTTAGTTAGCCTAGGATTAGTGGTATGCCGGTTAGCGGTATCCCTGTGCCAGCGGGGGCTCGTCCTATGCCAGTATTGGCGGTATGAGTTTAAATAAAAATTAGATTGACTTCTAAGTACTTTTCCTACATATTACTTTAACGAAAATAAAACACCTTTACGATCTTTATCTTTATTGTAACATTATCATTACGCCAAGAAGCCTTCATTACGAAGACGAGTTCGAGAAAGCTTACGATAGGTGTTTCCGATAGCAGGCAAAGGTCTTGTACTATCGGTAACATAGGCAGAGGCCTAGAGCTATCGTAAGACAAGGAACGAAAGGGAAAGAAAAGATAATTATCGTTCCCCGTCGCCATGAACTAACTATCTGAACGGGGATCGTTACATCTATGCACTACTGCCTCTAGACTATAGTTCTTACCAAATAGATACTGAGCCTGGGATTGGAACTATTCTCTATGGATTGATTTTCCCTGTTGCACTTCTTTCTACACCGTATTAAACAATTGCTCCTCTATTTCTAGCTATAAACACATCTGAAAAAAAAAAAAAAAAAGAACTTTTACCCCTATGAGACGCCAGATTGCTCTATAAATGCCCCCTATGCCAGCTATCATTTTTCCATAATTTAGTTGTTTTTGGTATTTTCTAGTATATAAATACTTCTTACTGGATTGTATGACTGAATTTGACATTAGTCTATTCAAATTTGTTAGAATACAATAATGGAGTAAAAATTGGAGTAATAATCCTATAACTTCTGGCTTTTGGCTTTACTATATGCATACAATACCTTTTTCATAGGTCCTTGTAGTTTTGATTGGTAAAGTTGAGCTTCCAATGGATTAGGCTTCAGTTCTGGTCTCAATTTCTCCCTTGGTCTTGTAAGAGATTAGCAGGCACCACACTCATATACATCTACCTCATTTTCGAGATTTTTATAAAACCTTGGTTATTTCCTAATTGTTAAGATATTAAAGTAAATCAAAAAATGAAAAATTATAGATAGAACTAGAAAATGTATGGGAAAAGGTACAATGGCCATAGAATTGCATATAACTAGTAATATTGAATTTATTATTCTTAGAAAGTCAGGTTAACCAGTCAGTACAATGGAAAGTACAAGGTAAAATATTTTCCTCCAATCAGCGGTTATTGAACAATGTATTGAAAATCCCTATCTTAGTTATCCATCACACTTCAACTACGATGTCTTCTAAGAAGACTACTCATATCACAGATTTTGAGAAATTGCAAATTGTTGTCTTGAGGAAAAAGAACTACTTCTTTTCTAAAATGGGACAGCTCTCGCAATGCTCTAAAAGCACTGTTTCAAGTGTTTTCAAGCAGTACAAACTGAGGGGTTATGAAAATACCCTTTTAACATCAGGAAAACTCAGAATTGTTAATGTCAGAACATGCTACCATGTAGTCAGAGAGTCCAAGAAGGCACACTGCTAGATGCTATCTGAATTGCATCATGATGTTACTCTATATACCTTTCTCAGTACTGTCAAAAAAGCTTTATCCGCAGTGAATATCAAGAAGGTGAAAGTTAGGAAGAGAATTATTCTCAATGATGAGCGTGCTGTCAAGAGGTTAGCTTGGCATATGAAGTATAAGGATTGAACAAAGAAAGACTTGGAGGAAATCATCTTTAGTGATGAAGGTATGGTTGAAAAGTCCAAAGTTTTTAATGACATTTGGGTGTTCAGAATACTGGAGGAAAAGTGGCATAAGGACTGTATTCATGGAGTAACAAAGGTACCAGGAGTGAAGTTGATGGTCCAGGCTTATATATGGGTTAGAAATATGTATGCTCTTATTCCTATTTTAGAGAAGAATGTGAACAGATTTGTACATATTGGAGTTTTGGAGGATGGTATAGTCGATACCTGGTAGGAGGTGGAGGATACAGTTGGAGATCCTATCTTCCAGCCTGATAGTGCAAAAATCCATACTGTAAAAGATACCATGGCTTGGTTTGAGGAAAACAACACTGGCATACAGATTATAGAATGGCCACCCAATTCACTTGACCTCAATCCTATTAAGTACTGTTGGAAGAAAGTAAAGGAAAAGCTAAACCAGTGCTTTCCCGATATTCATAAGGCCAAGAGTGGTCCAGAGACTGTTAGAAGTCATCTAGCAGAAGCTCTCAATGAGGTTTGGACTCAGGATATTGATGGGGAATTTTTGGAAAAGCTTTAGAAGTCTATGCCTTGAAGAGTGGCTGATGTTTTGGATGCAAGAGGATGTTATATAAAATAATGATTTTCTTATTCTATTATTTTACTTAAGAAGTTTCTTATATTTATTGAACCTCTACCTAAATTTTCAGTTTAATTAGAGCAGTTGTGGTTGTATAGGTAGTCAATTTATGGTGGGGTTGGGGTTGACGTCGGGTTGCAGTACGAAAACACTTGGGTTGGTACTTTACGATCTTGGCTTAATGCTTTAGGTTTACCCGTAACCTATTCTCCGCACTCCATATGCTTGGCGAAAAACCATAATAAGAGTAAATACAGTAAAAGGTTTTCCTTCGAGAGAAACCGTTCACCACCGGACCTACTGTAGCTCACCCATAAAATCACTTCGTCCATAATATTATCTGATCGATACGTGCATCATATATACCATATGCTTGTGATAGTTGATACTTTTGGCACGCTACAAGTTGTCTCATCCTGCCCGGTTTACGGGTGTACTCAGACAGTACAGCTCACCTCCTTTACCGCACCTACCCACAGATTCAAGTCTTTATCCAACTACTGAACATTTCCCGCCTTCCACGAGTTATCCTTTTCACGCTTTCCTAAAGGTTACGTGATCCTCATTTCCGCCCTCGGCTCTTGTTCTTACCAGTACTAGTACCGCCTCATCTATTTCCCTCTGCCCTCGTCATTCCCCGGTTCGCTTCAAAACCGGCGTGAAACGGGAATCAATCACCTTCCCTCCTTCGCCACAATATTCTTCTATCATCACCCAAAGGCTAGATAGCTACAATGCTCCGCGTCATCCCCTATCCACCACCTCCCCGCCCGATGATCAACGGCGATAAAATGAGCGGTCGCCATCTCCACCAGCAACCGCGCATGACCTCTAGTGTTTCCGCGTCTACCCCCGAGCAGGTTGTCGCTCCCGCAACCGTGTCGCGTGTCTACCGGGTCGCCACAAATCTTTTCCTGACACGACGGGTACCGGATGCCTTGATGGTTCTGCAGCCTATCATTGCTGACTCGGTTTCCCCGAGAGTTAGGTGTTCTCGTACTCTCAGAATCAAAGTATGGAGTTTGTATTTTGCCATTCTGGACGCCACAGCCAAAATGGGCCCAGAGGAAGGGAAGAAGGTTTGGGGTGCCCAAGAATGGAGGAGGATTGTTTCTAGAGTTAGGAGTGGCGCCGTATGGAATGAAGCGATCCAAATTTACGGCGAGGAAGGGAGAATCGACGGGGATGTTGTGAACACACTGTATGCTTGCCCCGCCCAACTATATTATCAATGTCCATTTCCACGGCGAGCACTACTGATGATGTTTATATTCAAGCGTCATGTTGCTGCTAGCACATTCACAAGATCAAACCGTCACTCAGAAGAAGATTGAAGCGTATCTATCGGCCGCGCCTAGCCTGCTTGGGTCCGAGGATGATCCGAAAGCGGTATCGCAACGAGTCAAGCTTATGGAACTTTACATCCTGCATGTTCTTCCCCGAGTAGGTGACTGGGAATATGCTAGAGAGTTCACTCAAATGAGTCCTGATCTGGATGAAGAGCAGAAAGAGGTACGATCGGTTTTTATAACCAACCCGCCATAGGATTTGTGCTGATTTATCACAGGCTTTTCAAGCGACTCTCGATGCGCTTCAGAAAGACAAGGAAGAGACCGAACGTTATAGTCAGGAATTGGAGGCGCGAAAGGAAGCCGAGTGGGAAAAAGAAGAGCAGGCCGAGCGGGAGCGCCAGAAACGGGAGCTTTCCCCATCAATAAGCACCCGCCCAACGCCCCGAAGGCAAAGTGTCCAAGGTCGAGCAAAAAGGAGCAAAGCCGGGAGTGTTCGGGGCGATAGCCCCACAGAAGAAAAGATGATGAGGAAGCAGGCAAGGACAAGAAGCGAGGATACCAGGGGGGCCATCAGTGCACGGGGCGGCTCCACGAACAAGAATACCACATCCTTATTCTCCACTACCACCGCGCTCCTAAACAGATTACAGTCACAAGTGCACACGGCCCGCGGCAGGTTCATGCTCCTGCGAACGGTCATCATGTTGGCGATGGTAGTCTGGATGACGAGCAAGCGTCGAGTCCGGGAGAAAGTTCGGAGATTGTTGATGCTAGCTTGGATTAAGACCACGCGTACTGTGGGAATGGGGATGAAGGTCACCTATATTTGAGTTGCTCGGGTGGGACACATTGTATTGATAATTGTGAGGATAGTTGTGAGTGGGGTGTTTGGAGTTTCTTTCTTTGGATGGGTTTCCTTCTCTTTCCCTATTCCTCTTTCTCCTGTTTCTACCTCTGCCATTTTCTCCAGTTTGTCTTCGTGTGATTCGTGATAGCGTCCTTCTATCCTTTTTTTTTGTTCTTCCATTCGATCACTGGGGCCCAAAAGAGACAAGGAATAAGTAAAGAGCCTGGTGATAGTCGTTTGTGGTCTGCTTTTGGTTTTTCTTCTGCTGATTGTAGCGTACTGTACTTGTAATACCAGATACCTTGTCCTTACCTATGAGTAAACGAACATAATACTTGCAGACTCGTGTCCTGAAAGCTATATTCCCTGTCTGCTCCATTCACACCATTCGATTGAGATATGCAATGTGTGGGGAATATTCCAGCCGCACGAAACTCCATGACCACTTTCCAGCACCACACGAGCACTAGTACAAGTACACGGGCATGGAGGCTAGCCGTGAGACGAGCTTCTCTTCCGCTATTTCCCTGACCCCGCTTTTCACCTTCCTGTTTCAGAAGGTGGTGGCGGTCATCAACACCACATACTACCACCTCACGATCCCCTCTCTGGTGCTGAACTTTGGAAGCTTCATAAGCCCAAACACCAAACCTCATCGTGGGACTAAACAAGATTTTCACCCCCTGTTATTGGGCTTTAGTTTCTCTGCCAGATTGTGGTTTCTGTCCTCATCCTCCTTCCTTGGTGGCCACCTCAGCGAAGCTGTGTGAGGTTGTGAATACTCCTCTGCCCTTCTGGGCTCTTTTGCTCGGTCAGGTTTACTTCTTTACCAATTTCTGGGTTACTCGGCAATGCGTAGTTAGTGGTGTACTGCCTCTGGTCATGACCCCGTCCGACCAGCCATAAGCGATCACTCCAGAGGAGGCCGGCATGTCCAGGTTGGTTGCCTTCATCATACAAAATGAATGCATTATGGTTCTCTCCTATATTCCTAGCTGCTAGCCAAGGCTGAACTGGTTGAAAAATGGGGAATGTGGTTTTCAAGGTAGTTTCCTTTGTTGGATTTCCTTTGAATTTTTTTCTCAGGAGAATATGGAATGGGTTTTCTTGTTGGCTCCTGCCGGTCCTGTTTTGTGCTTTTTCTGTTTTGTGCAGAAGGAGCTTTCATGGGGGCGGATGTGCCCTTGGTCCCATACCAGAAGGACTTGGGCTGGCTTGTTTTCCTCTAGGCAGTGGAGGTTTTTGACCAGCATATCTAAGGACTAAATCGGGGGTGTGGGGCAGTTATGGTAGAGATGTCCTTGTATCTAGGATCTATGCTTTAGCCGAGCTGTGCTCTTATAGTGGAGGTTTGCACCTTTAAGCAAATAGATTCTAGGATTTAACAAAAAAAAAAAAAAAGAGGCTAGTCATGAGACAGACTGGGGCACGTGTGACCCGAGAGCATGGTAGTACGTGGCACTGATCTCAGAAGAGCATCGTGATTTCTATTTATCTTGTGGACTGAGGAGACCTGAAGATTCCCTGCCTTGGTCGATAGGTAATTGGAAGCAGATAAAGAGTGCATTAACCTGGGGGTCAATTAATCTCACCTTTTCTCTTGGGATGAGCAGAAGAAAAATTGATCGTGAACGGGAATACGACTTAGTGAACTTACCGATATGATCCCTTCGTTCGTTTTCCAAGCACCGCGCTAGGCTAGTGTCCTTTCCAGGTTAGCGATAGCGCACAGCATCAGCTCTTGAGAACTAGGAGGAGGCTAGCAACCACCACCAGGCGGAAAGAGAGGAGTGCCTCGTCAACGATGTGCAATTAAGAAGCATCAATAGCTTCACGTATGTTGCTGTTCTTATCAAGATATTTGTTGATACTAATAAAAGAAATGATAGGAAGTACGCTTTAACTCAAATACCAACCGCAAAGTCAAGGCCTGTGGGAGAATTGCCTGTGCAAAACTCGCATTTCTGTCACAGTTCTTCCGAGATCAACGGCAGGAGCTACAAGCGATTTGGGAAGTCCCTCATGGGGACTGGTAAGGCTAGGTTTACTCGATCCAAGCTATCAACATGGAAGAGGAGGAGAATTTATGGTGGGCATGGAATCCATTGGGCCAAGTTGCGGAACCATTAAACCTTGATGATTCAGAGGAGGAAATTGAGGTTGATGGATATGAGTCGGGTATGGGTTCTGAAGGTGAGGAGAGGGAAGACAATCTGGATGAGCAGATTGCAGGTACTCTATTCTAACATTATTCTTCATATTCTTTATGCTAAGACCTTATGGCAGGAAAACATCTGTTCCTTCAGTATGGAAATGTTGGCCTTCCGGAAGTATCACATTTCCAATCGTTTCAGCACCCAGCAATGTCTCCGGAGCACTTCATTGGCCCCCACCCTCACAGGACAATCGCAAGAGGGACATAATATCCTCATGCTGTGGAAAATTGTGCTAAAATGAGCCTTCGGGAATGTGCCGCTATTCTTAAAGTTCCTTGCTAACATTGGGGCTTTGACGTTATTAGGCTACGCTGTTTGGAGCTCTTTTCACGTTCCATCACCTTCCTCATGAAAGGTAAGCCAAGACTTATACAGGTTCATCAATTGACTACCAGCCCATGCAGGGGTAATCGCGTCAAGTATAGCAATGGCTGGAAGCCAGTAGACATGCCTGGGTGGAGCTATCTGTCTCTTTGAAATAGTAGGCAGGTGGATATATTGTCTGTAGTTCTTGTTTTTAGCTATGTCTTAGGGATTATCTGGACTGTTGTTATCAGTGCTGTGGAACTTGTAAATACTGCTTATCCCAGCGTCATGAACATTCTCCTTGGTACGACCTTCATTCAGCCATGATAAATTGACGTTAAATGTTACAAATCAGGTGTGGTTCATAAAGGATTCCATATGGTATATTGGGTTTCTGTAAGCAGGACCTGCTTAGAAGTCATGTGGGATATGTTTTAATTAACGACTTATTTAAGCCATATGATATTATGCTGGTTGTTTGTACAGAAGACCTGTTTCGGGGTTATGTGGGTTTCACAAATAAAATAGATTTTAAGTCATGATTGTTATGTTATATTGTGATGGTTATTTGAATAGGGTAAGCCTTGTAAGTCAAACTTGAATTTCACATACAAGACCTGTTCAGAGCTCATGGGGGCATTGCATATGACCAGGAAGGGGGCCATGAGGACAAAGGATTATATAGTCATATGGTGTACAGCCAGAATCTATATAATAGTTGGATTTGTAAGTGGATTGTGAAAAGGTCTATATAAGGTGATAGGTTCAGCCTTTGAGATAGATCTTTATGCAACCACCTAAGTTATTTCCTAACAAATATATTTACAAATACTACTCCATATTCACACCTCAAATATTACCCTCACAAGCATCCCATGACAAGTATAGTGAACAATTGTTACTGTTAGAGTACTTAAGAAAATAAGAGTATTTTCTTAAGTAACAGAAGACAAGTACAACAGGGTTACTATATTGAAGAAAAGGAAAGTAATACCAGTATTACTTCTAAGCTAAGACTTGTTACCTGTTACACAAGTAGATTTTGGGAGCAATAAAGAAGCAATCTGAACATTCGGTTATGTTACTACATAATACCTAACAAGATATGATAAATCCAGAATACGAACTACGAGATGCATCTCAGGCTCCTCCACACACCCCCTCCTAGCCCCTCTTTATTTCATGGGACTATTAAAAGTACAGTTTGGAATCATGCCACACATCATACAGTAACAGATGAAGGCAGCTCATATACCTGCAGTACCAGCTCCACAAGCAGTATCAAAATGAGTTGTCAAGATCAGAGAACCTGATAGCTATAATGGAGACCCTCAGAAGTACTAATGCATTCTAGTACAACAAACTTTGTACTTTGATGTAAAAGAATGGACAGATGATGACAATCTCATGAAAATCTGATATACCGAAACCTTATTAAGAGGAAAAAGATTAGTACTCATCTACTTATATGCTGAAGGACTAATGTCGCAAAATTGGCTGGAATGGGCAAAGTTTGAATAGGCTCTAAGAGGACAATTTGAAGAACAAGATAAGCAAGAATATGACAGAAACTAAATCGAAAAGATGAAGCAAGGAGACAAGACTGCTATAGACTTCTGGAACAGCATGAAGCTACTTGCCACTAAGACAAAATATGAACTATATTCTTTGAAGCGACAGTTATTAAGAGGAGTAGAAGTTAGAGTGGAGAGATACCTGGACAACCACAGACAAACAATTCAACATGGTAGAAGAACTGTCTAGATGGTTCTTTAAGTTAGAAAACTGGATGAAACAAGAGTTAGATAAATAACATAAGATAATGAGAGGTACTTATATATCAAGGAATAATAATGGAATCTTTAAGCTCCTCACAACAATACAAGGAGGAGATCCAATAGATACAAGAGTTAATATTATGAATCAATCACAGCTCCAATGAAAATCCTGTCAGGAATATCAAAAATATAGAAGAGAAGGACAATTTCTCCCATGTGGGAAGAAACGATACATAGTAAGAAATTGCAAAATCAAACTGACAACCAACATAGGACTAGTGCCTTTCAAGATTTGAAGGTTGGAAGTAGAATAAGAAGAACTCGAAAATGAACTAAGTTTAAACAATAACAGTCTCAAGTAAGGGATGGTCTGCCAAACAAAAGATAAAAAAATCATTGGAATATCAGAACTATGAATGGCAAGTGATACCAAGGTAACCCCCAATCTTGGATCAGACCATTTTATGATAAACATACAACTATACAACGAAATAAGACAACTTGTGACAACAAACACAATAATTGATTCTAGGGAAACTAAACATATCATAGATTACTTTTTCACTATAAATCCTCAACTACCCCTTACAAAAATCGATATTACATGGAATATCTATAGGGTAGAAGGTACTGTATTGGAAGTAGTACCTATCACCTATATGACAGAATTGTTAATATCATAG